CCTGCATGGGCCTTAACTGAAAGCAATAAATTAGTCAAAATCTTAACAACCTGCGAAGAAATGATATTTATTTAACTGAGACTAGAACATTTTACGGATGGATGAAACATCGGTAGACACGATGTCAAACTTAGACTTACCAAGTCGAGGCTTACCTGTTATCATAACTGAGGCAAGTGTGTGTATGGTGTTGTGTATCATAAGCATCACTGGAAACAGTCTGGTTTGTATAGCAGCATACAGAAACCCAAACCTGCGATCAACCACCAACCTGTACATCATTGCATTAGCAGTCAGCGATCTGTTGTGCGCAACAATAGAAATGCCTTTAACGTTTACAACGCTGATCATCGGAAGATGGGACTTTGGCGACACCTTATGCCAAATTCAAGGCTCAGTTGGTGTATTCGCCAATTATGTTACCTCGGCAACCCTTGGTTTGACAGCGTTTAACCGTTACGTGAAAATTGTGAAGACGAACCACTACAATAAGATTTTTTTGCCAAGCAGATCTAAGATATGGCTGAGTTGCTTGTGGCTTTCCTTTATTCTTTACCTGCTGATTTTCTGAGTCACAAATTGGATCAGAATAGAATTTAACCAAAGCTTTGCAGTGTGCTCATCTGCTAACCCAACAAGTGAAAGCCGAATCTTTCATTATTGCATCACTATTGGATTGCTTTTTGTTTCACCTTTGTGTGTCGGTATATTCAGTTATTACGAAATATTTTTCAAAATCCATGAGCATAAACAGAACACAGTTTCAACGCTTCAGAACTCGCCAAACAGGAGAATGAACGACAGCCCAGTGAGGGATATAAGCATTAGTCGAGTCTTGTTCTTCGTGGCCGCTGGCTTTTTGTGTTGCTGGATACCAATGTGGGCACTTGCACTCTGGATGCATTTTTCCCCAGAAACCAGTCCTAGAGTTGTGCAACTGATTGATGTCTTTTTTTGTTATCTGAGTGCTTCAGTAAATCCACTTATTCACTTTCACAAATGGCGAGTTCAGAAGGGAATTTCGCAAACTTCTCCGTTGCCGCAACGAAAGGGCATGGAATGCATCAAACAAAGCCATTTCAGTTGGTGACAAGGGTGACGGGTTACTTGACAGGCGAAACAAACGTCGAGGTGTAGTTGGCTTTCCAGCTGTCTGAAATATCACCCTATTTGCTATTAATGGCTTCTTGCATTTGGTAAAAATTGCAGCTGTTTGGCTTGTTCGTCACTTTTCATTCCATGCTTCCCAGAAATGTCCATGATTTTTCTCCTTTGTGACTGATGAATAAGTGTAAACTTATGTAAATGTATAAAGATGAGATGCTAGTTTCCTGGGTCTGTTTATTTGCAAAGAATGTGACTTTGAGGAGATGAGAAAAATAATAATAACAGCAGGCATAAGCCCTCTTCCAAACCAAAAGCTTCCATTTCTTATCTATTTATATAAAAATAAATTATTATATAAATAGATAAAAAATGTAAAGCTTGAACTCTCATGGCAAAAAGCTGAATTAATTCTGTAAATTAGAAATTGATCGAAGACTCCCAATACCCGCATGATCAATCGGCTATGGTCTCTTAAACTTAATTCAAATCCGTTCGGATGGAAAATCTTGCGCAAAAAAAAATTATTATGCTGTTCTCCTCAACTACAATTCAATTAGGAGTGTTTTGTTTTATTAATCTAGTTCGAGAAAGACAAGCATGGAAAATTAGTCTTCGGGGCTCCGACTGATGGATTGATTGGGGGTGTTGTGTTTTACTAATTTAGCTTGAGAGAGACAAGTGGGAAACAGGGCTCCTATTGATGCATCGATTAAGGGGGTGTTGTGTTTTACCAATTTAGCTTGAGAGAGACAAGCGGGAAACAGGGCTCCTACTGATGCATTGATTGGAGGGCATTGTGTTTTACTAATTTAGCTCGAGGGGAACAAGCGGAAAACAGGGCTTCTACTGATGCATCGATTGGGGGTGTTGTGTTTTACTACTTTAGCTCGGGAGAGACTAGCGGGAAACAGGGCTCCTGCTGATGCATCCATTGCGGGTGTTGTGTTTTTACTAATTTAGCTCAATGGAGACGAGCGGGAAACAGGGCTCCTACGGATGGATTGATAAAAAGTATTGTGTTTCACTAATTTAGCTCGAGAGAGACAAGCGGGAAACAATAGTCTTCAAGCAACAGAAACGACCACCTGAGCTTTAGATTAAATAAAGGTGTCTGTCTGTATAAAGCAAACACTTGTTTTTTCCATGCCAAGTAAGCTTGATTAAAGATACCGCTGAAGAGAATTGGGAATTGCCATAATAGATTTGGGTTGAAAATAACTTAACTTTTAAAAATATTTTTGACAACAAAATTCTATTAAGAGATCAAAATGACAAAATATAGTGTCAAGTGCCACTAGAGGGTTTTTTTAATTGTTTTTCATATCTGGCGTAGCACAGGTTCTTTTTTGTAGAACAAGATTGTATCAGGATGCGTATACTACAATACTGACTGACTCATTAATTTAACTTACATTTATTTCAATTGTTACCGCGAATACCTTCAGTTATATAAGTATCTAACCTTTAAATAGCAAAAATTAGTTCAAAATTAGATGGTCATATTTCGACATTGTATTATATGATATTACAGTAGTATGAAAAATAATGCAATCGATTATCGCCGAATATCGTGGTTCATTCCTCCGAGATATCGCCGATTATTGGAGATATATCTTTGCATTTTGTCGGCAAGAGAGAACGATGAATCGACGAGACGGCAACGCTGCAGCAGGCAAGTAAATTTTTCTGGGAAAACAGTAAGTGATTCATATCATACCTATGACCGACCTGAAGCTACATACTCGATTGCAAATGTGCATTAAAGGTCCGTAACAATAAAAAAAAAATTGAACTTTTCTAGTTCATCTCGCCTTGTTACCTACTTTGCCCAAAGTAGGTAACAGTGATTTCACCAGTTCATCACAATAGCTTAGATAACGAAGTATATGCAGTCTAAAGAGCACAAGCGTTACGAATAATGAAACCAGTTCCAGCGAAATGATTATTAAATTTGTTTTCACTTCCTTAATTCTGCTTATTTTTTATCAAAACCCTCTAGCTGTTTCCGAGTTTCATTAAGTCTCTGTCCAATGAGATTAAGGGCCATAAGGATTTTTGTTCGAGTCTTTAAACAGCCCTTCTGTCGTATTTTATAATAACTCTAGTGGATCACGTACCGGTTTGAAATAAAATGTGCAAAAACGATGAATGGAAGAATAAATAATGAAAAGAAAAAAGTCCGTCGCCGCTTCGCGAAAACATGAGAGCGGTGAAGGAGCTTGCTAGGGAATTAGGTAGTTAAAAAAAAGATTGTTATTTTCCTTGGCCGCGGCCGCACTTGACAAGTAAACTGGGTTATTTCTAATAAATCAATCGCTTTCTTCGGCTTTTTATCGAACGGAATCTGCGTTAACGGTAACCAAGAAGTTAACATAGAACGAATCGGGAGGAGGATCATCTAATCCGCGATTGCAGAGAAAGAAGTCGAAAAGAAAGAAAGAAGGAAGAAAGTAACATCGCGGCCCTCGAAGTCTGCATTTTTTTTATGGTTTCCCTATGATGTCACGTTCTCCCACTTCATAACCCAGTTCAGTTCCGCCTTTCAAAAATAAAGCCCCTTTATTTCATCTTTACCAACCTTTTACCGGTTTAAATTTTTTGAAATTCTAACCTGGCTGCAGCCACCAGTTTAGCTATCGTATTATTTGTCCATCGATTTATTCAATCGATTTATTTATTCACGTTCTTAAATTTTAAATTATTGATCAAACTTTTTGTTAGAAAAGATGTCAAACCTAGAGTCACAAAGCCGAAGCTTGTTGTCATAACCGAGGCAAGTGTTTGTATTGCATTGAGCATCACAAGCATCATTGGAAACAGTCGAGTTTGTGTGGCAACATACAGAAACTCAAACCTGCGATCAACCACCAACCTGTATATCTTTAATTAAGCGGTAAGCGATCTGCTGTGTGGAATAGTAGAGATGCCGTTAGCTTCTGCCACGCTGATCATCGGAAGATAGGTCTTTGGCGACGCCTTACGCCAATTTCAAGGCTCAGTTACTGAATTTACCTATTATGTTACCCCGGCGACCCTTGGTTTGACAGCGTTTAACCGCTACGTGAAAATTGTAAAGACAAGCCATTACAAGAAGATTTTTTCGTCCCAAAGATCTAAGATATGGTTGAGTTGCTTATGGCTTTCCCTTGCACTTTACTTGCTCATTGTCCGAGTCACAAATTGGTTACGAATTGAATTTGTGCAAAGCTACGCAGTGTGCGTCTTTGCTTTCTCAACCAGTGAAAGTCAAGTCGTTCATTATTGCACCACTTTCGGATTACTTTTGTTTTACCGTTGTTTGTCGGCATTTGCAGTTGTTATAAGATATTTCTCAAAACCAGTGAGCATCAGCATAGTGTAGTCTCATCGCTACAGAACGGGAGTGAAAATGGTTCAGTAACCAACTAAGTGAGAGAAGTAAAGCTTACTCGAATGTTGGTCCTTGTGGCAGCGGGATTTTTGTGTTGCTGGATACCAATTTGGGTATTTGTCCTCTGGTTTCGTTTTTTCCCTGAAACCAACTCAAGAATTGTAGAATTGCTTGTCACTTTTTTATTTTATTTGAGTGCTTCAATCAATCCTATTATTTACGCTTTCACAAATAGCAAATTTCGAAGGGAATTTCGCAAACTGCTCTGTTGCCACCGTGAAAGGACAAGAATTGTGCCAAAGAAAGCTGCTGCGTTTACTGGTAACGATCTCGTCGAACGAGAGGAACAAGAAGCAGACTTTTTAAGTCTCATGAATTTGTGTTGGTGAAACATCATCTTTTAAAAACAGGACGGAAAAGTTATTCCATTCTTTTTTTCTACTTTAGTTATTGTTTGTCAAAGCAAGCTTCTTAGATGTCGAAAGCTGTGTTGCTCGTACCAATCAATCATAAATTTATGCTGATGTCTCGTTGCCAAATGCTGAGAGGATGACATCAGTTCACTTCTAAATTTTGGATGGGTTGCGAGTACGAATTGAATAGATTTTACCATTCCTGCGATGAAAATACGAGGAACCTAATTTGAATACCAAATTGAATAATCTGATGGCAAGCAAATATCGTTCCTTTTGCTTCTTCAGAATTTTCTATTTAAACGTCAAAGCCTTTGTCCTAATTGGTTAGTTAAATTTAATTAGAAATGAATTTTGTTCGACTTTCCGTTTGTGAACAGCCAGCCACTAAAGCAGAATACCTTACCCTGAGTTTCTCTTTCTGATGCATGTGATATAATCAGCAAATTATTTGCGATACTCGAACATAAGATTTTTTCTAAACTCATAATAAATTTGCACATAACGTTGTCTTCTACCCTTAAATGCAACAATGGAGATGCGTTCAAATAATATATTGATCACAGGATTTAGCTGGAGAGCATACATGGGCTGCCTAAAATTTATGTTGATTTTCATTTTATGCACGACTGGAAACTGGTATGAAAGATTGGTAGGCGACACGCCTCAAACATACATTATTACCGACCTGAAAACGCATGCTTGATTGCAAACTACATTTGAAGTCCGTAATTGTAAAAAAAGATTGAGTTTTTTTAGAAAGCCTGAAGTATTGGAAAGAAAATCAGCTGTTTATTCATTTAGTCATTCATTATGCTTTTTCAGGTAGACAAGATGTCAAACCTAGAGCTACCAAGTCGAAGCTTATCTGTTGTTATAATTGAGGCAAGCATATGCGTTGCTTTAAATATTACGAGCCTCATTGGAAACAGTCTGGTTTGTATAGCAGCGTACAGAAACCTTAACCTGCGATCCACTACCAACCTGTACATCATTGCCTTAGCAGTCAGTGACCTGCTAGTTGCAACCATCGAAATGCCTCTAACTTCTTCAACGCTGATCGTTGGAAAATGGGACTTTGGCAACGCGTTATGCCAAA